TTCTCAAATTATCAGTTGCGATTTTGCTCTATCCGATAGCCGTCTTCCGCAACAATTGGTGTCCGAGCTAGATTATAGTGTGTAATATATGCTTATTGTCTTTGTGGTTGCCACCAAAAGGTGGATCCTCCAATATAAGAAAGTAAGAAGTTATTACACATTCTTTGAAGGTTCCAGAGAACTATTCACGATAGTGAAATAGTGGGAACTATTCACGATAGTGAAATAGTGGGAGCTATCCGTAAACGAAGCAATGGCAACGAAATTTGATATTGAAAAGTTCAATGGGAGAAATTTCTCATTGTGGAAATTGAAGATGAAGGTCATCCTGAGGAAAGACGATTGTCTAGCAGCTATCAGCGAAAGGCCAGTGGATTTCGCAGATGACATCAAATGGAACGAGATGGACGGGAATGCTATGACAAACTTTCATCTAGCATTAGCAGATGAAGTATTGTCAAGCATCGAGGAGAAGAAGACAGCTAAGGAGATATGGGATCATCTTACCAAATTGTACGAGGCCACATCGCTGCACATTAAAATTTTCCTTAAGAGGAAATTGTACACTCTCTGTATGTCAGAATATACTTCAGTGACGGAGCACTTAAATACACTGAACACCTTATTTTCTCAGCTTACATCCTTAAGCTGTAAAATAGGAGAACAAGAACGTGTTGAACTTCTACTTCAAAGTCTACCGGATTCATATGATCAACTCATCATCAACTTGACAAACAGTAATGTCACTAGTCTAGTCTTCGATGACGTTGCAGCTGTTGTTCTACAAGAAGAAAATCGGCGCAAGAATAAGGAAGACAAACAAGTAAATCTGCAACAAGCAGAAGCGTTGACAACGATGACAATGATGAGAGGGAGATCAACAGAACGTGGCCAAAGCAGTAGTCACAAACATGGTAGATCGAAGTCGAGAAGCAAGAAGAATTTAAAGTGTTACAAACTATGGAAAGAAGGGTCACTTGAAGAATGATTGTTGGAGTCTAAATAAAAACTCCAATCCACAAGGCAATATCGCAAACACTTCAGATGATGGAGATGCTCTATGTTGTAAAGCGTCAACCACCGTGGAAGAAAGAAAACGATTTGCAGATATATGGCTCATTGATTCGGGAGCAACATATCATATGACCTCAAGAAGAGAATGGTTTCATCATTATGAACCTGTCTCAGGAGGATCTATGTATAGTTGTAATGATCATGCCTTAGAGATCGTTGGTGTGGGAACCATCAAATTAAAGATGTATGATGGAACAATTAAAGTTGTTCGAGATGTGCGGCACGTGAAAGGCCTGAAGAAAAATTTATTATCCTACGGATTGTTGGATAATAAAATGCAAGCAAGATTGAAACACGGAAAAGAATCATGAAGGTGTTCCGTGGAGCGCTTGTGGTGCTGAAAGGCGAAAAAATAGCTGCAAACTTGTACATGCTGAAGGGAGAGACTTTGGTAGAAGCAGAAGCCTCTGTTGCCTCATGTAGTTCAGATTCGGCAATGCTATGGCATCAGAAACTTGGACACATGTCAGAACAAGGAATGAAGGTCCTTTTGGAGCAAACGCTACTTCCAGGCTTAACAAAGGTATCACTTCCTTTGTGTGAGCATTGCATAACAAGTAAGCAGCACCGGTTGAAATTCAACACATCAAATTCTAGAGCCAAAAGTGTTCTAGAATTGGTTCACTCTGACGTGTGGCAAGCACCAGTAACGTCCCTAGGTGGAGCAAAATACTTTGTCTCATTTATTGATGACTACTCCAGGAGATGTTGGGTGCACCCTATTAAGAAGAAGTCAGACGTGTTTTCAACTTTCAAAAACTTTAAAGCGCGGGTGGAACTTGATTCTGGAAATAAGATCAAGTGTTTCAGAACAGATAATGGAGGAGAATACACAAGTGAAGAATTTGATGACTTTTGCAGGAAAGAAGGCATCAAAAGACAGTTCATAGTGGCGAACACTCCTCAACAAAATGGAGTGGCAGAGCGGATGAACATAACCTTGTTAGAAAGAACAAGAGCAATGTTGAGGGATGCAGGCCTAGAAAAATCATTCTGGGCAGAAGCAGTCAATACCGCCTGTTATTTTGTGAATCGAGCTCCATCAACTGCAATAGAGCTGAAGACACCAATGGAGATGTGGACTGCTAAACCAGTTGATTATTCAAACCTCCATGTATTTGGAAGTATTGTGTACGTGATGTACAACGCCCAAGAAATTTCAAAGCTGGATCTAAAATCCAGGAAATGCAAATTCTTGGGGTATGCTGATGGAGTAAAGGGGTATCGCTTGTGGGATCCTACTGCCCGCAAAGTGATCATTAGCAGGGATGTTATCTTTGTAGAAGATAAGTTACAAAGAAAAAAAGATGATGATAGCGCTGAAAAGTCAGAGACTACACAGATACATGTAGAAAATGAGGTTGAACATGGAGATTCTTCTGAAGCAGAACCAACACATGATGAACAAGAACCAGGGAGTTCTGAAACTCCAACAACTCGTCAATCAGATCGTGTGAGAAGACGTCCCAATTGGCACTCAGATTATGTTATAGAAGGTAATATTGCATACTGCTTTTTAACAGAGGACGGTGAGCTATCAACATACCAGGAGGCAATACACAGCTCAGATGTTTCACTGTGGATGATGGCGATGCAAGAATAAATCGAAGCCCTTCATAAAAATAATACATGGGACCTTGTGTCACTACCACAAGGAAGGAAGCCAATTGGTAACAAATGGGTTTTCAATATCAAGCGAAATGGTGACGATCAAGTGGAGAGGTATTGTACAAGACTGGTGGTCAAAGGATATGCTCAAAAAGAAGGTATTGATTTCAATGAAATATTTTCTCCTGTGGTTCGACTAACAACAATTCGAGTAGTTTTGGCAATGTGTGCTACATTGGACTTACATCTAGAGCAACTAGATGTTAAAACAACTTTTCTTCATGGAAATCTTGAAGAATAAATTTATATGCTCCAGCCTGAAGGTTTTGAAGAAAAAGAAAAGAAGAACTTGGTTTGCAGGTTGAACAAATCTCTGTACGGTCTAAAGCAGGCACCAAGGTATTGGTATAAGAGATTTGATTCCTTCATTATGTGCCTTGGATATAACAGACTTAATGCAGACCCTTGTGCTTATTTCAAGAGGTCTGGTGATAACAATTTTGTTATATTGCTGTTGTATGTGGATGACATGTTGGTTACAGGACCCAACAAAGATCATATTGAAGAATTGAAGGCACAACTGGCTAGGGAATTTGAAATGAAGGACTTGGGATCAGCAAACAAGATTCTAGGGGTCACGATTTAACATGCAAGATTGTAAGCCAATTTCTACCCCTCTTCCTATTAACTTCAAATTATCCTCCAGTATGAGTCCTAGCAGTGAAGAAGAGAGGATGGAGATGTCTCGAGTACCGTATGCATCAGCAGTGGGAAGTTTAATGTTCGCTATGATATGCACAAGACCAGACATTGCACAAGCAGTGGGAGTGGTTAGTCGGTACATGTCGAATCCAGGCAAAGGGCATTGGAATATTGTAAAGAGGATCCTAAGATACATCAAAGGGACCTCAAATGTTGCATTATGTTACGGAGGATCAAACTTGCTAATCAATGGGTATGTAGATTCTGACTATGCAGGGGATTTGGATAAAAGCAAATCTACTACAGGATATGTGTTCAAAGTTGCTGGTGGAGCTGTAAGCTGGGTTTCAAAATTGCAGTCAGTTGTGGCTATACAACAGAGGCATAATATGTAGCAGCTACACAAGCCAGTAAATAAGCAATTTGGTTGAAGATGCTATTGGAGGAGCTTGGGCACAATCAAGAGTATGTCTCTCTGTTTTGTGACAATCAAAGCGCCTTGCATCTAGCAAGGAATCCAGTATTTCATTCAAGGACTAAGCACATACGAGTTCAGTACCATTTCATTCGTGAAAAGGTGGAAGAAGGAACGGTAGATATGCAGAAGATCCATACCAAAGACAACATAGCAGATTTCATGACGAAGGCAATCAATGCTGATAAATTTACCTGGTGTCGATCCTCCTGTGGCCTGTCGGAAACGTAAGCAACATGAAAGGTACAAGGTAGAAAGAATGGTATGAAGATATGATTGTTCCAATCAAATCTTCAAGTGGGAGATTGTTGAAAATTGGCACACCAAATTGCATCAATTGACAACATTATGGGTGGCAATTTGGTGGCATTAATGGGGCGGCAAAATTGGTCAAATTTGGCCACCAAATTGTTGAAAATTTTGGATGGTAAAACTATGCAATTAGTCATTGTAATTTAGGGTATTTACAAATTAGTCCTTAAAGCTTCAACTATAAATACCCTAGCTCATTTAGCTTCAAAACCATCCCAAAGCATTCTAGCTTTCTTCCAATACTAGAGAGAATTTAGAGAGTTTCTTGAGAGTTGTTTTCTCCTTTTCATCAAGAGAGAATTATTATTGTTTTCTCCTTGGTAGATCGAGAGAGGTTGTAATTCCTATTTTCTCATAGTAAAATTCTTCTACCGTTGCCCGTGATTTTTACCCTATATAATTTAGGGGTTTTTCACGTAAATTTTGTGTCTCTTTTTATCTTCATTTTTATTTTCTCAAATTATCAGTTGCGATTTTGCTCTATCCGATAGCCGTCTTCCGCAACACATACATAAAACAAAAATTTCTAGAATTACAGATTGCAACATGCAAATTAATGTGCATCATGGCAAGTATTCATATAAAACACAATGTTGGACTGAAAAGCATCGCAGAAGCAGCCATTCTGGCGAGTGAACCGAGTTCTTCAGCTTATTATTCAAAGTAAAAACATCACTTTGAGCTATGACTTGCCCTTGAATATTTTTAAACGAGAACGTTGCCCTTTGGACCTTGCTTCAGGAAGGTTGGCCTTCAGAGTGTTACACTTTGTTGCTGGAGGTGGTTTCGAAGTGGACTCCGATATCTCCACATCAGGGGGTGTAGTTTTTGTAATCCATTGCCGCACTGGGCTAGGCTGGTTCCTTGTTGGTGGGTAATTACAAGAAGCCTCACCACAGTCGTTTTCCGTCTTCATATTCCCATCTTCCGACAACGATATATGATTTCTTATCAAGTTGTCTGGTATGCAATTTGAGCTTAGTCCATGTATCTCATCAAGCTTATTCCTCTTCCCTTGTTGCCATAGTGAGAAGCTTCATCATTTTCGAGTTTTTGTGATATTATTGCTTCAGTGGCGTTTCCTACAGCGATATTTTCCTCTTCTGCATCTGCCATCTGGGACTTTTTACTTTCAGTACTCGTTGCTCTGGCCATCTTTTCTTCAAACTTAACTTGTAAGCTGAATGGATGCCGGCTTTTAATCTTCTCATGAGATGGAAGTTTTCTCCCGGCGTGATTTGATTCCACTATTTCCTCACCGTCACGGTTTAGAGCTTCATCTTCAAGTGATTTCAGGTCAACACTAGTTGTTTTGTTCAGCTCAAAACAATTCGAATCACTGCTAGCAGAATCTTCCTCGTCATAAAAATCTTTACTTGCACTTACAACCTCATTTAAAGGGACAGATTCAAGTGATTTCCTCCTACCCTTTCGTGACAAATAATCTATACGCTTAGAAACAGAAGTACCAATATGTTTAGCTTGAAGGAAGGTCTCTATTTCAAAACCTAATCTGTCCATCTTTAATTCAGTTCGGGAAAACTAGATTGAGCTTCTTCTAGCTTCATCTGCATCCGCTTATCAAGCCATGATTCGGATATACGAAGAATCAAACGATCAGGGTCAGCCACTCGTATCCAATCTTCATCGAATTTCTGTCTTAGTCTAGGAACCTTCTGTTGGTAGCTCTTTATTCCCCTGCAAACTCATCGCAAAGATCTTCCAAAAGCTTCCTCGATTTCCTTTCCCTTTCAAGATCTTTCAAGGCATTAGAAAGAGAAGCTTTTGACTCGGACACTTCCTGAGCTAACTTCCTGTGTAGATTCTCGGATCGTTTTCTTAACTTTCTCTCATCTTCTAGTTCATCCCTTACCGACTGTACAGCAACTTAAACTGTTGAAAAGTCAAGATAAGTGGCAAAAATTGGTGGCCTAATTTTCCACCGAAAGGTGATTTGAAAATTAGAAATAATAATTCACCTAAAATGTTAAAAAAAATGGAATGGAAAAATTAATTTTAGTCATTAGATTTTAGGGTATTTACAAGATTAGTCCTTAAGCTTTAACTATAAATACCCTAGCTCATTTAGCTTCAAAACCATCCCAAAGCATTCTAGATTTCTTCCAATACTAGAGAGAATTTAGAGAGTTTCTTGAGAGTTGTTTTCTCCTTTTATCAAGAGAGAATTATCATTGTTTTCTCCTTGATAGATTGAGAGAGGTTGTAATTCCTATTTTCTCATAGTGAAATTCTTCTACCGTTGCCTGTGGTTTTTACCCTAAATTTTTAGGGGTTTTCCACGTAAATTTTGTATCTCTTTTATCTTCATTTTTATTTTCTCAAATTATCAGTTGCGATTTTGCTCTATCCGATAGCCGTATTCCGCAACAATTGGTATCAGAGCTAGATTAGAGTGTGTAATATCTGCTTATTGTCATTGTGGTTGCCACCAAAAGGTGGATCCTCCAATAAGAAAGTAAGAAGTTATTACCCATTCTTTGAAGGTTCCAAAGAACTATTCACGATAGTGAAATAGTGGGAGCTATCCGTAAACGAAGCAATGGCAACGAAATTTGATATTGAAAAGTTCAATGGGAGAAATTTCTCATTAGGGAAATTGAAGATGAATGCTATCCTAAGAAAAGACGGGTGTCTAGCGGCTATCAATGAAAGGCCGGTGGATTTCACAGATGACATCAAATGGAACGAGATGGACGGGAATGCTATGGCAAACTTTCATCTAGCATTAGCAGATGAAGTATTGTCAAGCATCGAGGAGAAGAAGACAACTAAGGAGATATAAGATCATCTCATCAAATTGTACGAGGCCACATCGCTGCACAATAAAATTTTTCTTAAGAGGAAATTGTATACTCTCCGTATGCCAGAATCTACTTCAGTGACAGAGCACTTAAATACACTGAACACCTTATTTTCTCAGCTTACATCCTTAAGCTGTAAAATAGGAGAACAAGAGTGTGCTGAACTTCTACTTCAAAGTCTACCGGATTCGTATGATCAACTCATCAACAACTTGACAAACAGTAATGTCACTAGTCTAGTCTTTGATGATGTTGCAGCTGCTGTTCTACAAGAAGAAAATCAGCGCAAGAACAAGGAAGACAGACAAGTAAATCTGCAACAAGCAGAAGCGTTGACAACGATGAGAGGGAGATCAACAGAACGTGGCCAAAGCAGCAGTCACAAACATGGTAGATCGAAGTCGAGGAGCAAGAAGAATTTAAAGTGTTACAACTGTGGAAAAAATGGTCATTTGAAGAAGGATTGTTGGAGTCTAAATAAAAACTCCAATCCACAAGGCAATACCGCAAACACTTTAGATGATGGAGATGATCTATGTTGTGAAGCGTCAACCACCGTGGAAGGAAGAAAACGATTTGTAGATATATGGCTCATTGATTCGGGAGCAACATATCACATGACCTCAAGAAGAAAATGGTTCCATCATTATGAATCTGTCTCAGGAGGATCTGTTTATAGTTGCAATGATCATGCCTTAGAGATCGTTGGCGTGGGAACCATCAAATTGAAGATGTATGACGGAACAATTAAAGTTGTTCGAGGTATGCGGCACGTGAAAGGCCTGAAGAAAAATTTATTATCCTACGGATTGTTGGATAATAATGCAAGCAAGATTGAAACACAGAAAGGAATCATGAAAGTGTTCCGTGGAGCGCTTGTGGTACTGAAAGGCGAAAGAATAGATGCAAACTTGTACATGCTGAAGGGAGAGACTTTGGTAGAAGCAGAAGCCTCTGTTGCCTCATGTAGTTCAGATTCGGCAATGCTATGGCATCAGAAACTTGGACACATGTCAGAACAAGGAATGAAAGTCCTTGTGGAGCAAAAGCTACTTCCAGGCTTAACAAAGGTATCACTTCCTTTGTGTGAGCATTGCATAACAAGTAAGCAGCACCAGTTGAAATTCAACACATCAAATTCTAGAGGCAAAAGTGTTCTAGAATTGGTTCACTCTGACGTATGGCAAGCACCAGTAACGTCCCTGGGTGGAGCAAAATACTTTGTCTCATTTATTGATGACTACTCCAGGAGATGTTGGGTGCACCCTATTAAGAAGAAGTCAGACGTGTTTTCAACTTTCAAAAACTTCAAAGTGCGGGTAGAACTTGATTCTGGAAATAAGATCAAGTGTTTCAGAATAGATAATGGAGGAGAATACACAAGCGAAGAATTTGATGACTTTTGCAAGAAAGAAGGCATCAAAAAATAGTTCACAGTGGCGAACACTCCTCAACAAAATGGAGTGGCAGAGCGGATGAACAGAACCTTGTTAGAAAGAACAAGAGCAATATTGAGGGACGCAGGCCTAGAAAAATCATTCTGGGCAGAAGCAGTCAATACCGCCTGTTATTTGGTGAATCAAGCTCCATCAACTGTAATAGAGCTGAAGACACCAATTGAGATGTGGACTGGTAAACCAGTTGATTATTCAAACCTCCATGTATTTGGAAGTATTGTGTACGTGATGTACAACGCCCAAGAAATTTCAAAGCTGGATCCAAAATCCAGGAAATGCAAATTCTTGGGGTATGTTGATGGAGTAAAGGGGTATCGCTTGTGGGATCCCACTGCCCGCAAAGTGATCATTAGCAGGGATGTTATCTTTGTAGAAGATAAACTACAAAGAAAAGAAGACGATGATAGCGCTGAAAAGTCAGAGACTACTCAGATACATGTGGAAAAAGAGTTTGAAGAAGGAGATTCTTCTGAAGCAGAACCAGCACATGATGAACAAGAACCAGAGAGTTCTGAAGCTCCAACAACTCGTTAATCAGATCGTGTGAGAAGACGTCCCAATTGGCACTCAGATTATGTTATAGAAGGTAATATTGCATACTGCCTTTTAACAGAGGACGGTGAGCCATCAACATACCAGGAGGCAATAAATAGCTCAGATGTTTCACTGTGGATGATGGCGATGCAAGAAGAAATCGAAGCCCTTCATAAAAATAATACATGGGACCTTGTGCCACTACCACAAGGAAGGAAGCCAATTGGTAACAAATGGGTCTTCAAAATCAAGCGAAATGGTGACGATCAAGTTGAGAGGTATCATGCAAGACTGGTGGTCAAAAAGATATGCTCAAAAGGAAGGTATTGATTTCAATGAAATATTTTCTCCTGTGGTTCGACTAACAATAGTTCGAGTAGTTTTGGCAATGTGTGCTACATTGGACTTACATCTAGAGCAGTTAGATGTTAAAACAGCTTTTCTTCATGGAAATCTTGAAGAGGAGATTTATATGCTCCAACCTGAAGGTTTTGAAGAAGACGAAAAGAAGAACTTGGTTTGCAGGTTGAACAAATCTCTGTACGGTCTAAAGCAGGCGCCGAGGTGTTGGTATAAGAGATTTGATTCCTTCATTATGTGCCTTGGATACAACAGACTTAATGCAGACCCTTGTGCTTATTTCAAGAGGGCTGGTGATAACGATTTTGTTATATTGCTGTTGTATGTAGATGACATGTTGGTTGCAGGACCCAACAAAAGATCATATTGAAGAATTGAAGGCACAACTGGCTAGGGAATTTGAAATGAAGGACTTGGGATCAGCAAACAAGATTCTAGAGATACAAATTCACCGAGACAGAAGTAATAGGAAGATTTGGCTTTCACAAAAGAATTACTTGAAGAAAATCTTGTCACGATTCAGCATGCAAGATTGTAAGCCAATTTCTACCCCTCTTCCTATTAACTTCAAAAATTATCCTCCAGTATGAGTCCTAGCAGTGAAGAAGAGAGGATGGAGATGTCTCGAGTACCGTATGCATCAGCAGTGGGAAGTTTAATGTTCGCTATGATATGCACAAGATCAGACATTGCACAAGCAGTGGGAGTGGTTAGTCGGTACATGGCGAATCCAGGCAAAGAGCATTGGAATATTGTAAAGAGGATCCTAAGATACATCAAAGGGACCTCAAATGTTGCATTATGTTATGGAGGATCAAACTTACTAATCAATGGGTATGTAGATTCTGACTATACAGGGGATTTGGATCAAAGCAAATTTACTACAGGATATGTGTTCAAAGTTGTTGGTGGAGCTGTAAGCTGGGTTTCAAAATTGCAGTCAGTTGTGGCTACGTCCACAACAGAGGCAGAATATGTAGCAGCTACACAAGCCAGTAAAGAAGCAATTTGGTTGAAGATGCTGTTGGAGGAGCTTGGGCACAATCAAGAGTATGTCTCTCTATTTTGTGACAGTCAAAGCGCCTTGCATCTAGCAAGGAATCCAACATTTCATTCAAGGACAAAGCACATACGAGTTCAGTACCATTTAATTCGTGAAAAGGTGGAAGAAGGGACAGTAGATATGCAGAATATTCATACCAAAGACAACATAGCAGATTTCATGACAAAGGCGATCAATGCTAATAAATTTACCTGGTGTCGATTCTCCTGTGGCCTGTCAGAGACGTAAGCAACATTGTTGAAAACATTTTGATATTTCGATATAACAAATTAAGTTAAATGAATTTTAAGATTTTC